TGGTGTCCCACAGGTCTTGTTATCTCTGTTCATTTATCCTTATTCCTTTTTCCCATCTACTCCTCAGACTGGAGTATTTCAACTGTCCTGTCTTCGTATTTACTAATTCTTTCTTCTGCCTGCTCACTTGTGCTATTGAGCTCCTCTAGTGAGGTTATCATTTCAGTTATTGCAATTGGTTCAATAACCCTACAGTTTTTATTTGGTTCCTTTTTTATACTTCTGTCTCTTTATTGATATTCTCAATTTGGTGAACATTATGCTCTTGGTTTCTATTAGTTCTTTGTCCATGGTTTTCTTTGACTCTTAGAGGATATTAAGAGAGTTTATTTAAAGGTTTTGTCTAGAAAGTTCAATCCCTGGGCTTCCTCAGGGGCATTTCCTGCTAATTGCTTTTTTCCCTGTGAATGAGCCATCCTTTCTTCCTTCTTTGCATACTTCATAGTTTTTGTTGAAAATTGGACATTTTGAATATTATAATGTGATAATTCCGAATATCAGATTCTCTCCTTCCCTATAGTTTATTGTTGCTGATTGTTGTGACCTATCATTGTGTTTCTGTTTAGTGCCTTTATTTCAGCCTGAATTATCATTTCTTGTAGGGCAGGTCTAACCACTAGCAATGACCTCTTTTAACTTTCATTTACCTAAATTATTTTGTAATGACTGCACTCTTTGTCAGGTGTGGTCACTGTTCTATTAGCTAGTGGTCAGATAGTGATTTGACAGAGAGCTCCTTAAACACCTGGAGCCAAACAATATTTTTTTCCCAGTCTTTGTGGCTGGGCTCTGCTTGCATGTTGGGACCATGCCCACAACCTTGGGCTAGGCAGTTTACAGCTCTGCCTTTGCTTTCACTTCCTGCTGGTCAGAGCTGGACGTGTATTCAGTGGTGAGTGCTCAGGGCCTTCTCAGTTCCTTTCTGAGCATGAGCCCCTTGTGGGCATGTGTGGGGTCTTCTGGACTGCCAGCCACCTGTGGAAGCCCGAAAGCCTTGTTCCTCCAAGCATTTCATTCCCCAGCTTTCTGTCCTCAGCATTTTGGTGTGTCTTCTGTTTGCCACAACTGATATCCTTTTCCCAGGCAACAATGGGTTCATTTGACAAACACTCTCTGTGTAGCTGCTTCTCTGCCTTGAAAGAGTTACAAGTTATGAGAAATAAAGCCAAGCCCTTGGTGTGGGCACCTCCAGAGCCACTGCACAGACAACCACACTTCTCAGAGAATGGGGCCCACTCTCTCCCTCCAGAACCAGGGCCCTCACTGGGACCCAGTCCACCAGGCTGCAGTGGCTTCTGTGTTAATGATGATTTCCCTTGGTCACTGTAAACCTTTGACCATTTTCCACAGTTCAGATGAAATTGATTCTGGCAGCTTTGCCAGTGTCTTCAGTGTTTCTGTGGGGGTGAGGAGGTGGGCCCTTAGAGTTCCCCATTCCTGATGTTCTCCAACATCACTCTTAGTAGGCACAATTTTGAAAAGTCCTTTTGAGGACATTTGTTGATATCTCTCAGAATTTAAAATCAGCAAACACTCTGACCTGCCAGTCCCACTTCTAGGAATTTAGGCACAGTGAAAACATACAGTAGTGCACACAGGTAAGCAGGGAGGATGCTCATGATGGTGTTGTTTGTAACAATCAAAACTAGAGAGACTTTAGTGCCTGTTCCCCTGTTTTTGCATAAATCAATAATGGTGTATCCACCCGTGGGATGCTATGTGTCTAGGTAAAAGAGGCAATGATAAGGTATTATTCCTTATCAAGTTGGCAAAGATAGAAAAATATAAGGCCCCATGTTGTGAATCTAGGCTGTTATTAAGAGGACCCAGACCCTCATGACTAGTGGTGTGTGTCTGTTGGCCATTTGTATGTCTTCTTTGGAGAAATATCTGTTCATGTCTTCTGCCTGTTTCTTGACTGGATTATAACACAACTGATGAGTCATTGGACACTACATCTGAAACTAATGATGAGCTAATTGAATTTAAATAATAAAAAAAAGAGGACCCAGACCATCTTGTGAGCAATGTGATTTCTACACCTCCACCATCTGACCCATTGCTCTGCAGTTCCAGGTGTTCATTCTCAGATTTGCTCATGTGTGTGGGAAGCTGTATCTGGCTACATCTGGACATGTGTGTTCACATTTCCTCCCACCTTCTGGTCTGGACATGTTCTCACACTGTTCTGGCCCTTCTCCACTATTGCTGTCCCCAGTCTTCCTTTTCCAGCTGCTCTCTGCCAACCCAGCCTAGCAGACGGGAGCTCCAGAGGCTGTGTCCTGTTCTTCACCCTCTGCATCCCAGCAGATAGCCTGGTGCTGGAACACAGGGCATTCTGGTGTCTGTGAATGTAGGCATGAGTCCAGGATGCCCACCTGTCCCAAGAAGACCGTCCAGGCACTGGACAAGCCAACTGCCAGTCTCCTCTGTCCCCAGCAAGACTGTGGCCTGTGCTGACCTCTGGAACAGCCCACACCTGTGCATGGGGAGAAGCTGCTTCTACTCATTGTGGGTTGGAGTCTTGGTTCTCAGCCCACAGGATTTTCCTGGAGCAAAGTTTCAGACCTGTGATGGTGGCCAGACAGCAGAGTGATGACCTGAGGTAGACATGGCTGGCAGGCGGAGCTCCCAGTTCCCCCAAAGGTGGCAGTATAAGCCCCAGAGAGGAGTGGCAGAGACCCTTGGGTGCTGGCTAGTGGTCACACGTCTCCCCTGAGCCCCCCATTTCCAGACCAGCTGTGGGTCCCCTTTGTCAGCAAAACCACCACAGGAAACAGAAGGGAATTGTGCGAGACACTAAAGTATTTGGTGGGGTTATTCTGTGGACAGGGAGTTGCAGAGGGACAGTGTCTCTGACTGACCCTGGGGTGGTGTGGGACTGAGGGAGTTGCCAGTTGCCTGTCAGACCCAGCAGGGTCCATGATCTTCACCTTTCAGGGCATCCTGGGGGTGCTTTGGGGGCATTTTCTGTGGGGGATGCAGATGTGGCTGGGTCATCCCTGGAAGGAGTTTCATAATGACCGATTCACTGGCTGTGAAAGGGAAGGGCTGGGCTTGGTGGCCTCTTCTGGAGTTGAGGGTGGGCTTGGGGAGGTCCTGGCTCAGCAGCAAGCAGGGGTACTTTCGGTGACGGTCTAAGTGAGCCAGGCAGGACCCCGAGGGAAAGCTCATGGGCATGTAGCCCGCTGGGCTGCAGGGGGAGGGCTGGGCACAGAAAAGCTGGCACAACAGAGCCATGCAGGGGTCCGGGTGGGGGTCTGGTCCCTCCCAGAGCCTGGGGGAGGGCATCAGGTAGGCCAGCACAGGCTGGCTGGCAGCCTGTCGAGCAGCCGGCGTGGCAGGTGGTGGCCTGGGGCTGGGTGGGGACAGGGTGGAGGTTGGGGCTGGTCAGAAGCCCCTTTCCCGGGAGGCTTTAATGGCGTCCTGGCAACAAGCCACATGGGTGTCTCGCTACTGTGTTTTCCCAACACTTCATCCCTCAGTTTCCTCCTCGTAAAGTGGGGATGAGGAGCTCGGATCTCAGAGAGCAGCTGTGAGATTAAACCCCCATCCTTTGGGTGCCTGTAGTTGTGCAGACCCACAAGAATGGCTAGGGCTGGGTGAGACCGGTGGTGTTTATTGTGAATAAATCAAAGGAATAGTACATGGCTCAGGGCATTCAACATCACAAACCCTGTGGAAGTGAGACTCTAGAGTGAGGTGACAACAGAGCACAGAGGGCCCAAGCGTGAAACACACTCCAGGCACCATCACCAAAGTGGGGCTGGGAGTTTATCAGCACCCCCGCAAGGGGTCTACATGGCTGGATGGGCAGAGCACATGGCCCTGGGTGGTGTGGACCACAACTGGAAGGGTCTTCACCAGTGGCATGGCCCAAGAGACTGGGGAAAGGCCTGGAGAATTACAGGTCACTTGTGCAAACCACTCAGGACAAGTGTTCCTAGGGTGGGGGTGGGGGCCTGGGTGGGTCAGTACCGGCCATGCTGGCAGGTGATCTTGCTGGATGTCCCCGCCCTTGTCCACAAGTGTCCTCACACGATGCCACTGGCATCCCGACACCGGAGCAGGCCACTGTCCACAGCAATCGTGGCCTGAAGGGGTTCTCAGTTCACAGGGAAGGCCCCGCACCAGGACTCTGAGTCCCTCGTGCTCCCAGGCGGAGTCCAGACCTACCAGATGATGGCCCTGAGTCCAGCCCAGGACGGGATCCTGGGGCCCTGCCACCCACCCTTAATATTTTGTTTCAAACCTAGTCGTTTTCTTCAGGAGCTTGGAGCAGTGCCTCCCCCATGACACCACCTTTCCGAGAAATGGGTAGAGCCCGCGGGAGGACCCCAGGGGGACCCCAGGCCCATAGGGGCTGTGCTGCCTGCAGCCCCCAGGCCTGCTTGTCTGGCGCCGGTTTGCCCAGCTGGGGCAGTGGGTGGAAACGGGCCAGGGGCTGAGAACCCCCAGACCACGACCCGTGTGCAGGTGCCCAGCCTCGGGAAGCCCTGGGCATGCAGGACCCAGCAGCACTGACCGTCCTGGGTGAGGGCGTGGCTCCCACCCCAGGGCCCTGCGCAGAGGAGTCAGGCCCCTGCCCTGTGCGATTTCTCAGTCCCTCATTCCTAGAAATGTTCACGGCGGGACGAGACCAGTGTCTGGTCAAAACCCTGGGATCCCCCCACCCCCATGAGGGTCAGATGAAAGGAAGCAGATCTGTTGGTGAAGTGAGTTTATTGGGGTGCCTGAGGAGGTGCTGACAGGTCGGCAGTTGAGGCCAAGAGACCCAAGCAGAGAAACTGGGAGGGACAGGGGACCAGAACAGGTGTAGGCACCTCCCGGGGAGCAGCCGGGTCAGCGTGCCTGGCAGCTAGGAGGTCAAGGTCAGGTCAGGAGAGTGGACACATGGAAGACCCCGTCCTGGGGTCAGGACTGGACTGAGGGGGGGCTGGGAGGACCACTGTCACTGGGTGGGTCCTGAGCCCAGCTGGCCCCGGGGGGGACGTGCCCCGTCAGCAGCAGGACTTCTGGGCTGAGGCGGGCACGCAGCAGGCCTGGCGGGAGCCCACGGGCCGGCAGAGCAGGGACACGCAGGAGGCCCGGCGGCAGCAGCTGGGCTGGCAGGAGGACGCGGGCACGCAGTAGGCGGGCCTGCACACGGGCCGGCAGAGCAGGGATACGCAGGAGGCCCGGCGGCAGCAGCTGGGCTGGCAGGAGGAGGCGGGCATGCAGTAGGCGGGCCTGCACACGGGCTGGCAGAGCAGGGACACGCAGGAGGAGGGTCTGCAGCAGGACCAGGAGCAGGGGCTGGGCTGGCTGCAGGAGGGGGCTGAGCAGGGGGAGGACTCGCAGCAGACAGGGGTGCAGCAGACGGGCTTGCAGCAGACAGGGGTGCAGTAGACAGGGGTGCAGCAGACGGGCTTGCAGCAGATAGGGGTGCAGCAGAGGGGCTTGCAGCAGACCGACGCGCCGCAGGCTTCCTGGCAGGGGGAGGAGCTGCAGCAGGAGGGCTGGCAGGAGCTGGTGCAGGCTGATTGGAAGGGGCTGGACGCGCAGCTCGCGGGGGTGCAGATGAGGGTCAGGCAGGAGGGGGGTGCGCAGCAGGGGAGGGTGCATCCGCTGGACTGGCAACAGCTGGAGGCGCAGCAGGGGGGCTCGCAGCAGCTCTCTTGGCAATTGTCCACCTGCCGGGAGGATCTGGTGCAAGCGGTAGGTGAGCAGACGCGGCTGCCACAGCTCAGGTCGCTGGAACAGACGGACAGGGTGGACGCGGCCATGACGTACGTCTGGGAGCAGCAGGTGTCAGCCATGCTGGAGTTTTGTGCTGGGAGGTGAGCTGGACAGGGATGTGTGTGACAGGTGCGTGAGTGAGGTGCTCTTGGCATCGGGGCTTTTATATCTGTCCTTGGGGTACTGAGCCTCACCTGAGTCTCGACCAGCCTTCCTTTTCCTTGTTATTGCTCAGAGTGTGTTTCCTGACAACCCTTATTAGTTTATTTGCTTTAAGATGTTTGTAACACCATCCCCAAGACTCTGAATGTGTCTGGTGATGGCTGGTTGCTTGTGTCCGGAAAGCAAACACTAGGATGCAGAGCTCCTGTTGGTTGATTGGTTCATGGTCGGGTGTGTCTAAAACCTGAGCTCCTCTTTCCACTTTTGCTTGTGTATCTTTGGTGTGAATTCTGGTCTGCTCTACACATGGCCCAGACACTCCTCACTGAACAAGGGTGTGTTGGCTCGGGGGACTGCCCCCTCCCCTGCTGCACCTGCAGACCCTGGAGGGGTGACTCCCATAGTCCATCCCAGACACTGTTCTTATTCCCCTCTTTATCTCACAATTACCAAATGGTGTGTGTATTCTGTTCTTTCCTGAGTTTTCAGTTTTATTATTTATTTTTTAATTTTTTAAAGTTTTTATTTTAATCACCCAGTGCTCATCACGACAAGTGCCCTCTCTAATCCCCATCACCTATTTCCCCCGTCCCCCCCACACACCTTCCCTCTGGTGACCCTCAGTGTGTTCTCTAGAGTTAAGAGCCTGTTTCTCGGTTTGTCTTTTCTTTTTCCCCCTTTGCTCATTTGTTTTGTTTCTTAAATTCCACATATGAGTGAGATTATATGGTATTTGTCTCTCTCTGACTTATTTCACTTAGCATAATACCCTTTAGCTCCATCCATGTCATTGCAAGTGGCAAGATTTCATTCCTTTTTATAGCTGAAAATGTTCCATTGTATATATATACCGCATCTTCTTTATCCGTTCATCAGTCCATGGACATTTGGGATGTTTCCATAGTTTAGTTACTATAGATAAAGCTGCTATAAACATCAGGATGCATGTATCCCTTGAATTAGTATTTTTGTATCCTTTGGGTAAATACTCGGTAGTACAATTGCTGGGTTGTAGGGTAGCTCTATTTTTAACTTCTTGAGGAAACTCCATACAATTTTCCAGAGTGGCTGCATCAGTTTGCATTCCCACCAACAGTGCACAAGGGTTCCCATTTCTCTGCATTCTCGCCAACACCAGTTTTTTTTTTTTAGTCATTCTGAGGGGTGTGAAGTGGTATCTCATTGTGGTTTTAATTTATATTTCCCTGATGCCGAGCGATGTTGAGCATCTTCACATGTGTCTGTTGGCCATCTGGATCTCTTCTTTGGAGAAATGTCTGTTCTTGTCTTCTGCCCATTTTTCAGTTGAATTATTTGTTTTTTGGGTGTTGAGTTTTACAAGTTCTTCATATATTTTGGATACTAACCCTTTATCAGATATGTCATTTGCAAATATCTTCTCCCATTCTGTAGGTTGCCTTTTAGTTTTGTTGGTTGTTTCTTTACTGTGCAGAAGCTTTTTATTTTTTGAAGTCCCAGTAGTTTGTATTTGCTTTTGTTTTCCTTGCTGCATAAACATATCTAGAAACATATTGGTTTGGCAGATGTCAGAGAAATTACTGCCCATGTTCTCTAGGATTTTGATGGTTTCCTGTCTCACATTTAGGTCTTTCATCCATTTTGAATTTATTTTTGTGTAAGGTGTAAGGAAATGGTCCAGTTTCATTCTTCTGCATGTGGCTGTCCGATTTTCCCAACACCATTTGTTGAAGAGACTGTCTTTTTTCGCTTGGATATTCTTTCCTGCTTTGTCAAAGTTTAGTTGACCATATAGGTGAGGTTCCATTTCTGGGTTCTCTATTCTGTTCTATTGAGTTATGTGTCTATTTTTGTGCCAATACCATACTGTCTTGATGATGACAGCTTTGTAATAGAGCTGGAAGTCCAGAATTGTGATGCCACCAGCTTTGCTTTTCTTTTTCAAGATTGCTTTGTCTATTCAGGGTCTTTTGTGGTTCCATACAAATGTTAGGATTGTTTGTTCTAGCTCTGTGAAAAAAGCTGGTGGTACTTTGATAGGCATTGCTTTGAATGTGTACATTGCTTTGGGGAGTACAGACATTTTAATGACATTTGTTTTGCCAGTCCATGACCATGGAATGTTCTTCCATTTTTTTGTGTCATCTTTAATTTCTTTTCTCAGCATTTTATAGTTTTTAGAATACAGGTCTTTCAACTCTTTGGCTAGGTTTATTCCTAAGTATCATTATTTTTTTTTCCTTTCTTTCTTTCTTTCTTTCTTTTTTTTTTTTTTGATGCAGTGTTCCATGATTCATTGTTTGCGTATAACACTCAGTGCTCCAGGCAATACATGCCCTCCTCAATACCCATCACCGGGCTAACCCATCCTCCCACCACCCTCCCCTCTAAAACCCTCAGTTTGTTTCTCAGAGTCCATAGTCTCTCATGGTTCATCTCTGCCTCTGATTCTCCCCTCCTTCATTTTTCCCTTCCTTTTCCTAATGTCCTCCATGCTATCCTTTATGTTCCATATATAAGTGAAACAATATGATAATTGTCTTTCTCTGCTTGACTTATTTCACTTAGCATAATCCCCTCCAGTTCCATCCATGTTGATGCAAAAGTTGGGTATTCATCCTTTCTGATGGCTGAGTAATATTCCATTGTATATATGAACCACATCTTCTTTATCCATTCGTCTGTTGAAGGGCATCTTGGCTCTTTCCACAGTTTGGCTATTGCAGACATTGCTGCTATGAACATTGGGGTGGATATGGACCTTCTTTTCACTATATCTGTGTCTTTGGGGAAATACCCAGGAGTGCAATTGCTGGGTCATAGGGTAGCTCTATTTTAACTTTCTGAGGAACCTCCACACTGTTTTCCAAAGTGGCTGTACCAACTTGCATTCCCACCAACAGTGTAAGAGGGTTCCCCTTTCTCCACAACCT